TAATATATGTAGTTCACATGAATTAATTAATTGAATATAGGTGATCAAAGATATATAACAAAATAATAAGTTATATTTTAATATATAATTTCTTTTTTTTTAAACTCATACACAGACTTACAAAAACGTTTTTTCAAATTATCAGACTATATTCTGCTTGAAATAAATTCATGAAACCTTTTATGAACGTCATTCAACTAAATTTCATATTCATCACAACTTATGTCAATATTAGCTATTTATAAGGATTGTATATGAACGTATATAACACATCGATATATTCTTTTTCTATATAGATCTTTTCATCAAATAAAGCAGAGAAATTTCTCATCAGTAGTTTCTTTTTTTTTTTTATTTTCTTTTTGCATATTCTATTACGCGACGTGCATTGAACAACAAATCAAAGAATTTCTCATCAGTATTTCATTGTCTGAGAAAAAAAAAGCATGTTTGTCATTTGATTGAAGTATGTATACGTGTACTCTCTTCATCTTGCTCGTCAGTCACATCAACTACTATCACACAATCTAGAAAGATATACTATGAAATTCTCTTGTTCATCAAAAAAGCCAACAACAATCAATGTTGATTTATTCTTTGTCTATGTCTCTCTTTTTTTTTTCTTTATGTCATTCATTTTTTTTTTGTTTCTTTTGCGGTTTTTTCTCTTTTTTTCTTTTCTATATCTCGTTCTTTTTCTGTCGACGCTACTACTCAAATTACTTTTCGCTCTCGCGCTTTGCTTTCTCTTTCGAAAACATTCAGCACATACTCCATTATTAACTACCCAAACTGTTCTATAAGTTCGTGTATCGTGCATTGGAACTTCAGCTCATTTGCACTGTGAACAGGCAAACAAACTATACATTGGAAAAATAAATCTATGCGCATAGTACAATTGTTCTTTTTCTCATAACATTCCTCGATTTGGTCGAACGCATAACATAATATGAAACAATCTTATTAACATTTCTTTTTTTCTTTATCTACTACGTTATTATTTTGTCACATCCAAGAGACAGCCATCATTAGCAACTGTAACAAAATATACATTATTAAACGAATGACAATAACAACAACAATAAGAACAGTGTAATTACATCCAAATCAATAATAACAATGGGCGTTGACACTTGTTATCCGTGTGCTAAATATCTTCTCTTAGTTCTTAACCTCATTTTTTGGGTATGTAAATATTACATGTATATATTAAAACCAAATAGATATGAATGTAGAGTATTAGCAGATGTAGCAACAGATTTATTTCTCATGTAACAAAGAAAAAACCTGATTGAGCCGCAAACGTTTTTTTTTTTCTTTTAACAAGAAAAAAAGAACTGTTATTCATTCATATTCAAGTTGTGAACTACTTAACAACTCTTAATTTTGAATAAAACGTAAAGGAAAAAAAAAAGTATTATTCTTTCTCTAGATAGAGAAACTATTGACATTTATGAATAAAGATAACTATTGAGAAACAGATTATTGAACAATGACATGATAAAAAATTAATTTGGTTTCGAAATTCTTCATTAATACTCTCTAATCCTTAAATATACTTACTACATGTCTTTTTATCTTTTGTTTTTCTTTGTCATCTATCTAGTTAAGTGGTGCTGCACTGATAGTTCTTGGTAGTTTATTCTTATTACGTCCTGAAGTACAGCATATTATTCATCTATTCAATTTTACTGCATTACCGTTGTCATCAATTGAAATATCAGCTATTTTTATTATCTTTGTTGGTATCATTATCTTTCTTATTGGAATTTTCGGATTGTGTGGTGCAAAATATGAATCACGCACTTGTCTCATACTTGTAAGTTATAATTGTCATATAATAATGACAAATAAACGAAAAAGTTTATGTTTTTTTTTTTTGTAGTATATTGTTTTGGTAACATGTGTTCTTTTGACGGAATTAGCCTTATTTACATATATAGCCATGTATCATGACCAATGGGAAGGACTTATAAAACAACGTCTTGTATCACAAACGAAAAAATATAATCACTTGAATCCCAGCCAATATGAGCGAGCTATAAACTATGTTCAAAGCCAGGTAAAATGAAGAAGAAAGTATGAATAGAAAAAAAAATGAATAGTTACGTAAGAAGCAAGAACGAAATGAGTGATGTACACAGTTGGTGCACTTTTATTCCAAAGTTCACAATGTCTGTCTGCCGTCATATTGAGAAGACAAAAAAAAGTAACAAAAAAAAAAAAAGAATGAGAAAGCAAGACATTGTTATTGAAAGAATATTAGAAAAAGAGATCTTATAGTGATAATGATCATGTTAATGATGATGATGATGCAATAGTTATCATTATACTTGATCAAAATGTGATTTTTCACTTTCTAACATATATATTTATGGATTAGATTGAATAATGAACCTTTTTTTTATTCATTGTCACAAAGCTTTTCTTCCTTTCTCATCTTTGTGTTGTTTACACTATATTATCAAAGGACGATTACAATCGCAATATTGCACAACATTCGCAACTTGTGCTAATGTCTGTGAATAAAGAAAACGATTTAGTAGACGTCAGACGAGATAGAAAAAAAAAAACGTTGCCTATGTATTTGTGATTCTTCTAACAACTATTAACTAGACAAACAAACTGGCATCGATCAATTGATGATTGTTAGCCATGATGTAATTTTCTATTTTTCCTTTATGTTTGTCCTTGGCCATAATTCGTCGTCAATATGAGAAAGTTGATCAGAAACATTGACAAGGACATACAAAAAAAATATGATGTGTCTTCCTTCCAACAGTGCCAGACATGTTAAATAAATAAAAAAACTTAATGAACTTAAACAAAACCATATTAAAAAAAAATTTTTTCATGGTTTATTTTTAGTATCGTTGTTGTGGTATTGATTCAGCATATGATTACAGTGATGCAGTTGTTCCAATGTCTTGTTGTTCTATGACAGTTAAATTACCTTCTACATCAGCATGTACTGTTGATCAAGTTAGTTTACGTGGTACACTCGGATGTTTTCGTGTATTAACTAAAGTAACAATATATTGGATGAAATATTTTATTATTGCTGAACTTGGTCTATGTCTGCTATCAGTAAGTGACAAGACATAGTCTAATATGATTGAATCTATTTTGATGTTAAATATTTAGTTAATTGGTGTATTTCTTGCTATTTGTGTTTGTCAAAATGCAATGCTTTATGATGGATATACACAAGCTCCGTATCGTGTTTAATGACAAAAACAGAGATTTAACATTGTTTCTTTTATCATTGAATTTTTTTATAACAGAACTTTTTTTTGTGTTAGTTGAGCGTAACTATAACAAAAAAAAAATAATAAGTTATTACTTTTTTTGTTTGTCCTTTGAAGTCAAATTATTTCTTCGATTTGTATTCAGGAATTTTTTTTTTTTAATCTGTAAAAACATTCTATTGTATTTCTGTGTGTATATTTAGAACATTTAGAAATGAAAATCAAACATAACGAAATGAATAAAAGATTAACTTTGTAGTACTCTTAGCATAATAATAATAACGATGATGATAATAAACGATGTTGATAAAGTAAACAAATTGTCTTTATTATAAATAGTTGCCTTCTTTTTTGTTCTATTGTTCATAGAATTTTCTATGCAAGACTATTAAAGGATTGATTGATTGATGAAGTAACAATCTTGATATAGGACTACTTGCATAATATAGTTTGTCGACAGCTTGTATATTATTATTAGATGAAGAAATCTACTAAGTATAATTCGGTCAAGGATATTTGTTTATTGCTTCTTAAAAGAAAAACATTAATATTATTAGCATTCAAATAAAACTAATTATCAAGCACACGAATAAGCGCCTTTTTTTCTTTTGAAAATCATTCGAAGCAAATATAAATGTCATCTAGATTTTTTTCTTTCTTTATGATATTATATATTCATTTTTTTTTCTCATTTTTGTATGTCTATGTATTATAGATGAGACATTGTTTGAATTCCTAAAATAATTATTAACTATACAGATTCCTAATGAATTGATCACTAGATATAAGAAGTCTGACTTATTTTGTTTGACTTATTCCCTATAGATAATACTGAGTGTTACTCAAGGATAAAATAACATTTCCTTTTTCTTGCATTCCATCCTTTCTTCAATCATCTATTTCCTAGTGTCCTTGTCTTATACGATTACATGCTATATATAAAATAGAATGTTTTCGATATTATATCATTCAGATGTATTAACTATGTTTCTCGTAAGAATTAATAAGATTAAAGTTAATTTTTGAAACAAATCACCACAGTTCGATTTAAATATTTGTTATTCATATATAGTTTTTGTTTGTTTGCTTGCTTGCTTCATATTGCTCATAGAATTGTTTACGAAATAGTTTTCAAATACCAATTGATTTCACTTTTATTAGTAGTTCAAATTCAAATGCTATTTGCTTTCAGTTCCACATAAGCACATTCGATGACATTGTACGAATAGTTATGAAGGATATGTTTACAATGTCAACATAAAGAACGAACGATAGTATCGTTAATTACTTATTTATTGCTTTTACTACTATAGTTATGACAATATTCATCTATATATTTGCAATCTCAATTATATATCATAGGTGTTGACCTTGAATCAAACAAATAAAATTTTTTCATTGAAAACTTTTTTCCACATATTTAAATAAATTAGTTATAGTGATTTTTCTTCTATTATTTCATAATCGATAAAATGATCTTATCAATTAATGAAAACAAAGTGTCTTTTTTTTTTCTCTTTTACACACACATACACACAAAATCTATCATAAAACAAGTCAATACAAAAAAAAACCAACGAGAACATAAGCTGTCCCAAATAAAACTATTGCTTTATGTCTAAGAAATAATGCTAATTTTTTAATATTATAATGAGTATGAATCACACGAGTTTAATTTGCTTAAAGCAAACTCTGTGCAATATATACATAACATTTAAGTTTCTTATTCAATTTTATATTGTTTTAAGATCATTATTTCCATGCACCATGTCCTGCTGTTGATGATTGTTGTTGTTGTTGTTGTTGTTGTTTTGGTTTATCTTTTTTAACTTTTGTTTTTGGTTGAGAAAGTCGTTCAAATAAATCATTTGTATTACTTTGTTTAGTATTATGTATATCATAATCAAGTCGTTTTTTAACTCCACCACCATGTGTTGTTACCGATGATTTATTATGTTGCCTTGGTGTTATACCATGTGATGAATGTGATTCATTGTGTAAAACTAAATCATCAACAATTACTTTTTCATCTCGTTCAGCTAAATTTAATTGTTCAATAGATAATTGTATATTATGTAATGATCGATTTGTTTTAGCCAATGGATGTTCTATAAATATATTTTAAAGAATAAATTCAAAAAATTTTTTTTTTATAGACATTTACTATTTGATGTATTATGATCTTGAGTTGGTGGTCGTTCAAGTAACATTTTAACATATCTTGATAAAGATTCATTTGTTGATGATGTTTGATCATTTTGTTGATTTTCAATACTATCTTTTGATAGAGTTCCTTGTACTTCTTGTTGATGATCAACAAAATTTGTTGTAATTGAAGATGTTGAACGATACGATGATACTGTTGGTTGATATATATGATTCATATTTAAATTACTATCAAGACTAAAAGAATTGGATGATTTTTGTTGTTGTTCATAATTATTTGAAGGATAAATTGAAAATAATCCACTATTACTAATAGGATCTGCTGAATGACTTCGATTAGTTAATTGATTATTATTATTTGTATGAAGAGAAGATTGAGTTATTGTTTGTGGATACCAATCTGGTAATGAATCAATTGGAGTTGAACGAAAAAATGGTGAATGAAGAGTACTATGTGGTTGAGAAGATAATAAATGACTAGAGAAAAGAAAAGAAAAGATTAGTTTTAATAAATGAAAAATAAAAATAAAAAGATAATGAAAAATTTACTTTTGATTATTATCAAACATTTGTAAAGTATTTTCTTGGTGCATTGGTAATGGTAAATGAGAATTGAATTCATAACCATTAGCAACTCGATTTGTTTGATCAACAAGTGAATCAATACGAGATGAAAGTGATCGTATTGTTGATATATTAGTTGGATGATCATTATTAGTTAATGGTAATGAAGGAAGATATTCCGTATTTTTAACTTTAACTTGTGTATCACTTAATGGTAATTTTATTTGATTAAATTGTGTTGATGATGAAGATGATGATGAATTAATTGGTTCATTTTGTGAAAAATTTATTTTTGTTGATCCTTTAAAAAGTGCTGTTTCAAATACATCTTGTAGTTTTTTTGCTAAATCTTGTCGTTCAGCATTTGTTGTCGATTGTATCTGTTCAATTTCATTTTTCATTTGATCAAGTTTATTTAATAATACTTGAACACGATTTTCATGTTCATGACGTTCATGTGATAAAATTTGTTCATGTTTTTCTTCTAAATCAGATAATTTACGACGATGTAATTCATTTATTTCTTCTTCAATTTGAATATGTTTCGCATGTTGTTCTTCAAGACGTTGATTTAACTAAAAGAAATTAAAATTAGAAGAAAATATACGACTGTCTTTTTAAACTCTTCAAAACAATTGGTCTTAGGCCACGATAGAGTTTTGCGCGACACACTTTTTTTAAAGTTTTGAATTACACTTGTCCCATTGATCGAAAGAAACATGATGATCCCATTCTATTGGGGTCTTGTGAAAAGAGCCTTTCAGATCCGAACTCGGTTGAACCATACTTTGATATTCTTAATGAAACTTTAGATTTTGGGAATTATTTAACAAACAATGGTCAAAAAAAGTTCATTTGGAAAACTGAAATTCTGTACCCTCATCCTACAGATTTATTGTTTTTTTTTATTTGAAAGAGTATGTCAGATAGTAGTGATCTCTTTTTTAAATTCTTACTTTTATGCGAGGAAATAGGATAACATGTTCAAGACTTCGAAAAACTCTTAAAAAACGATCATCTTAGTGGCGTAACCAGGGTAGAGCTCCGCCCAACCACCGGCGTCAACTTCGTTAGCTAAATTCTCCTATCAACCCTACCACCCCACAGTCCTCATTCGCCTGAGCCCAATCACCAGACATTTAAGCGATGCTAAGCCCTACCATCGCCAAAATCTTAATTACGCCACTAGACCGTCTATTTATAGACAATCTTTTTTTACACAAGAATAAAAAAAAGTTAATTTAAAAAACAGGTCCTGCAACTTCACATGCTCTTGCAAACAAAAGAAAGTCATTTGCGACAGTAAAGCTCCTAAGAGAATTCTGGGATACCCATTCAGTAAATGAGTTACTAACTGAAAAGTGTCGATATTTGATAACGAAAATTGACTTTTTTTTGAGGACGATTCAATGAACTTACTTTAGTTTCAGCATCACGCATAAGTTGAATTTTAAGAGATTCAGTTTGAGCACGATATTTGGCTTCACGCAATTCAAGTTCCATTTTCAATACATTCTGAAATAAGACGCAAATAAAATTTCTTTTCCGAAATAAAATTTTTACTGACATTCTCACGTCGTTGTTCATCAAGATCATTTTCTAATTGACGAATTTTGATTTGATAATCACCATTTAGTTTATGTTGATCACGTAACAGTTGTTCAATTTGTTCTTGTTTTTTGTCCAATTCAGATTGTATATCAGTAAAACGAGTCTCGCCATTTTTGATTTCATTACGTAAATCATTTTCAAGTGTAGACCACCGTTGTTTAGCCTTTGAAAAAATTTCTTTATATGATGAATGACAAATTGTGAATGTAAATTAGAAATGAACGCAAGACTTTAAGTTCAGATTGAAAAACCAAATATAATTTTATGCAAAGAGAAAATAAAAGAACATTCAACTAGTATACTTTGTAGAGAATTTTTTTCTTCAAAGCAAGATTATCACGGTTTCTCTTCGATTTTTACAGGCTGAGAAGATGAAACTAAAGTTTGCGACCAGGATTAGTTCTAGTGCCGCTGTAGTCATGCTCTAATTTAGGTATTATGATCATGTCGTTTTTGAAGCAGACTGATTTAATAGAGCAAATATTTCTCTTCAAGTTGTAGCATCGAAATATTTTTTCTTCGCTTAAAAATATGTAAATCTATACTAGGAACTAGAAAGTTTTGTACATATCTTTAGTGATGACGTAAAATCAAACAATATTAAAATAATTTTATACTTGTTCAGAATCTTTTGTTAATTGTTGTATACGTTGTTCATTTTGTTTTGTTTTTGATTGTAGATTTTCATAATCTTCTTTCATATTATCATTATCTTTTGTTAAACGTTCAATGAGTAAATTTTTTTCATTTAATTTTATATCAAATTGTTGTTTTTCATTTAAATTTTTTTCTCGATTTATTTGTTCATTTTGTTTAATTTGTTGTGTTAAATTATTTAATTTTATCTTATAATCATTTTCTTTTTGTTTCCATTCATCAACAACATTTGGTATCATTTGTTCAAGTTGTTTCATACATAAAGTTTTTTTATGATCATTTGCACGTAATTGTATTAATTCAGATTCAGCTTCTGTTAAACGTTGTTGTTGTACATCAATTAATGTTTCTAACTGTTTTCGACGATTACGTTCACTTTCTAATGATGATTTGTAATATACTAATTCAGGATTTGCTTCACTAAGAAATTCTATAAATGAAAAAAAATTAAATTGAATAATTAGAGAAATTATAAGTTTTAACCAGATCGTGGTTGTTGATCATCAATTAATGGTTGTTCATTAATTGGTAGAATATTTGTTCGACTCATTGAATGAAGTAATTGTCGAGCGTTTTGTAATTGTAATAAACATGGTTCTGATGATTGAGATTCATTTGTTTGAATTAAACTATATAAAAATATACAAATAAATTTGATTGATGTTTGTTTTAAAACTTACTCTATATGTTCGTTTTCTTTTTCATGTAATTTATGATCAGGTGTTGATGTAAACATTGTTCCTGAATGACGACGATGAGAAGAATTCATAGTATCATGAATATTAAAACCTTCGAAAAGTAGACGACGATGAGTGCGGTTTTGTGGTTCATTGGTTGTAGTTGTAAATGACGACATAGAGGTCAACTAAGAAATAAAAAATAATTTATTTGACCGAAGAAGAAAAGAACGAACAGTAGTCAATTGACTGGTGATTGTGGTCAAATCTTTGTCTGAATAGAAACCATACTGGAATTGATCTCAAAGTAAACTCCTCTTTGTTTTTTTTTTGTAGAAAATAGATGTCTCTATTAGAGTTCAATTGATGCCGACAATTCAAACCAATCAAATTCTATTAAATTGTTTGCTATGCTTTGAAAATGAAATAAAAGAGGATTTTGAAAAAAAAAATATAATTGACTTGGTATAAAAGAAACGAAAAAATAGTTAATCAATAGATGACTGTATATATGCTTTTGACTCACATAAGTTCGATAAGTGATTAAAATAGATGAAAAGCTTTTTTATGTATGAGAACCTTAAATATAGTGTTCCTCTATTAGGATACACATATCATATTCATCAACTGCTTTTATCACATATTAGCTGGCTTGATCTCACAATATAAAAACACAGCATGTAGGTCAGAGTATATGCTTGTATCCTGTAGAAGCACTAAACAAACTCCGATCATTAATACATCATAAAAACATGTAAGCAGTAGCAAGTTTGATCACTTTGATTCTTCATTAATTTGAAGTCTATCCAGAATGGTTTCATAGCTTCGAATAGGTCTCACAATTATTCAAACGATTATATTATCGATGAGCTTTGTTTGATCACTAATGTCGAAATAAATATTATTGATATTAAATAAGAATCATTTTATTTGCACAGCTATTGTTCAAGGATTTGTACTTTACGAAGTGAAATATAATATTTAAGAATTATAGAGCACTATTTGTGCTATCACGACATAAGTAAAGAAGATTTTTTTCGATGTTTCTATACGATATTCTAGAACTGACGTCAATACTTCTGTTACGTTTTATTTAATAGAAAACTATTTGAACTTGTAGTGTTTTTGATGGAAAAAGAAGAACAAAGAGTGCAAGTTATAGTTATTTAACACATAGACGAAAGGCAAACTAATGTGAAACTTTTGACTTATTGATCATAGCATAGATTTATATCAATCCAACTTGTGAGATTTTATTGTTCATTTCGATCGACGAACAAAACTTTATAAGTCAATTAATCATATTGATGTTTGCATCTTGTAAAATTATATTCTTTCAATAACGACATCAGAAGCATAAATAATAGGTGCATATGGTTCCTAATATTGTTGTTTTCTCTTAATATTTATGTTGATTTTGTTTTGTAAGATACCTAGCAAATGAGGCAACTGCTCCAACTGTAATCTGTCGTTTAAACACATATTTCATTCACAAGGAGGTTTCGGTAAGAGTAGACAAATCCTAAAATGGTTCATACCCATCGTTTTCATTCAATAAGAAAGGACACAGCAAGTTAATCGAAAACTTCATCTCTTCCTTGATCATTTATTTAATTTTTATTTACTAATGTGATGTATCACAATCAAAGATTCTTTCTTCCGACATAACATAAAACAATGACACATTTTTCACACATACATTTTAGTAAAAAATAACTATGATTTTAGAAATCTCTTTCTTTTATCTTTTCTTTTCTTTTCTTTGATAGTAGAACAAAGAAGAAGATTAGCATGCCGATCATTTTCTCCAGTATCACTGGTTTTGTATTCTATTATCAAAGAAAAGAAAAAAGAAAAAATGCAGAGAAAAATTTCTAGAATCATCGTTGTATGTACTAAAATGTTTATGTGTGAAAAAGTATGTTATCGTTTTTTGTCACATCTGAGCAAAAGCCTTCGATTGTAAACTATCACATTAATAAATAAAAATTAAATAAATGATCAAGGATGAAAAGAAATTTCCGATTAATATTAGAATCCATAGATATCTGAAGCCGAGTTATGATTGTTTTACTGAATATTCGATCCATTTTTTAGAAATTTCACTGAAAAATCAAATAATGAAATTTCGATCTGAAATTAAGTTCCTAAATAGATCTAGTGACCCTTAGAATATTCTAAAAGTTTCAGCTGAAAATAATGTTCATTCATCAAGATATTGAATTTTTCTAACAAATAGCTGCTTGTCACAAACATCTAGTTTAATGGAACACTCAATCTCTCAACAAAGGAACATTCTTTTCAAGTGAAATTTTAAGAATATTCCTACGGTTATCAAATCTGTCTATGAGCAAAATTGCAAGTTGAAATTCTATCATATGATTTTCTAGTAAACGCTTAAAAATGCGTCTAAAATTCAGCTTCAGAGATTCATGAGTACGAACTTATTTTTAAGTTTTTTCTAGTCGTGTCATGAATTCCTTGTGGACTCATGATGAGCGTAAATAGTGAGTTGTAGTTCATGTAATTTCTTCTTGAGACACATGTTGAAGAGAAGAATTTTTCTCTTTCTGAAAACTATCCAATAAAAATTCGTAGACTGAAGAAAAATACGAATCATTGCACATAATCAACGATGAGAAAATTTTGCGCAAAAATGTCAAACAGTTACAATATATTGCCAACTTCTAAACCAATATTTTTTTTTTTGGTTAGAAAGAGTAATGTCTGAACTATAAATGTTGTACGGTGCATATTTTTCCAGAATGAATCTTAAAAAGCGAGAAAAGTTAAACAGCAACCTCCTTTAAAAAAATTCTTGCAACACTTTTGCATCTTGAAAAGTTTCTATTTCTCGATTATTCTGAGCTACATGGACCAGATTCTAATACAAAAAACATTCAACACATTGTAGCACATCAAAAGCTAAATCGATTCTAGGTATGGTAAACTTTTTAAGGCCCATTCTTTACTCTTTGTTCAAAATGATTTGTAAATTGAAATTTTTTGTAAAATAGACTTTTGTAAGAACGATCAGTTTGAAATGACATTAGTGACTGTCTCCAGAAACCATGTATGAACAGAATTCTTTTTACATTATGTGCTTAGTAAAGGCGATCAAATGACACATTTGCTTCCAGAAATAGCCTTATTTTGTTATAAAAACGAAGAATAAATTTAACTTCAATATATCATTGAAAAGAGCACTCTTAACACTTCAAAAATCATCATCAAACATGTTTTTTTCATTTCATTTCTGATACAAAACATATAACAGAAACTAGACAAATGATGTTATGTGATAGTGAAGTAGCAAGAACCGTTTTAGAGATATTTGGTTTTTGGCTTGTCCTGCTTCTTAGATTCATTCTGAAAAAATCTCTTGTAGAAAACATATAGTTCAAATATTATTTTTTCTCACATAAAAAATTTTCCTTGCCTTAGAAGTTGATAATATGATATTATACAGTGTAACATTTTTTCAAAGACTTGTGTACCACTTGTTAGCGTTTAAGAGTAAACTGAAGTACTCATAAAAATATCATTGTTAACTAGATGTATATTTGTAAAATATATATTTTGGATGATTAACTAACAATTTTATTATCTTTGTTTGTGTTGTTTTCCATAATTTTAAATTAAAATAATATTTGACAAGACAATTATCATTCTGATTGATTACATCTATCAACAAATTCACTTGTTTTATATAGTGTCTATATTATATAAAAGCTAAAATGATATTTTTTTTTCGTACAAAATTATATCAACTAGAAAAGTATTCAAATAACGACCAATAAAATATTTCTTTTAGAGATCAGTCATACTCTCTAGTGCTTTGCTCTAATGAAATCAAAGAAAAAAAAGCTCTAATCATCTATAATAAAGTTATTCCAAAAAATATAGAAATATGCATTTTTTTTTCTAGAAGAATCACATGTACAGGTCGCGTCTGGTTTTTCTCATAAAAAATCTATGGAAAAATCATGTCTTCTTCTATAAATGTGTTTGCAGTTGACGATAAAACAATAAACAGAACCAAATTTGTTCGTCTGATATTGGTAATATTCATAAAAAAATATAATTATGAAAGATATTCAGATAGGTAAAAATCATACAAATACAACGGATATATCCTCAAAGGATAATCTAATTATAATTTTTCCTTATATCATTAAAATTTTATCTCGATATTTATTACCATTTATTTTATTATTTGGTAATATCAGTTGTCTATTATCACTTATAGTTTTTCTTCAAAAATCTATGCGTAAAAATCCAAGTGGTCTCTATTTTTTATCATCAACATTATGTAATATAATATTTATTAATACAATGATAGTTGCAACAATTCTTTATTTTGGTTTTAATATTGATCCAAGTGGAAATATTTTAATTATTTGTCGAATTCAATTTTATATTGGATTTGTAACTACTATACTTAGTTCTACTTTTCTTGTTTTAGCTTCAATAGATCGTTATATAATAAGTTCAACAAATTATAATAATCATCGATTTAGTACTCATTCAATGGCAATAAAATTTATATTTAGTATAACAATATTTTGGTGTATTATGCATATTCATGCATTTTTTTTTATTATTAAACCAAAAGATAATAATAAAATGTTTTATTGTACATTGAAAACTGGTACATATACACTTATAATAATTTTCTATGAATTTATTATTCAAGATCTTCTAACACCTATATTGATGATTTTATTTAGTTTACGTACAATTATAAACGTACGCCATGTTATGGTAAATTCAATGAGTAGATTACAGTCTGTTGATCGTCAATTGCTTATTATTATGTTATCACAATGTTTTGTTTATTTAAGTTTTCGTTTACCATTACTTATTTATTTTGTTTCTGATTATATTATAAAAAATTCAAGAAAATATATTCGATATTGGACAGTCAATATGATCATCTTTTATTTATCATTATTATCTTTTTTTATTCCATATTGTGTTTTTTTCTTTATTAATTTAATATCACATAGTTTTCGTGTTGAATTTAAACGTTTAATAAAACATCTTATTCGACGTTATTTTAAAAAATTACGAAAATCAAAAAAACATCGACATAATCAAGTATATCCAATGGAAATTATTCAAAGACCAGCACCTATTGAAATGACTTTACGATAAAATAAACTGTTTTATACATTCTATTCTATTTTTTTCGAAATAAATAGCACCTCTATTTTAATAGTATTTCTTTGCTGATTAGTATTTATGCTTCCTTATTTATTAATAAGAAATTTACTGGAGGGAAATATTTAATAACTAACTATGGTTGAATATAGTGATAGAGTTATTTGACTTTTGATGATATAAAACAGAGCTATGTCTGTTAGTTTTCAAAAATTCTGTTTCATTGTTAGATTAATATTTAATTCCAATTTTCATATGGAATTTGAAGTAGCATATTATCATCAATCAACGGATTGTGCAACAACTCTATGTTAATATTGTTTTCGGTATAGCGTGACAATGCCTCATTATTGAGATTTGATGGTTGTTTTGATGAAAAGAGCAATGCCACAATTGCAAAAATGTTTCGTTAAAAATTCTTACCAAAGGCTGAAAAGTTTTAATAACATGTTTAACTGAAACAGTTCTCTGCACGCTTCTGAAATGTAGAAGAAAATCTTCATCCATTAAGAAAGTTGGTCTTATTTTTCATCGTTAATCAGATTTTCAAGCTCTACAATATGACACTGAATAAGTAAAAAACAAAATTTTCAATTTATCAGTTGAGTTCAAAATCAACATTTTTCTAACGTTCTTTGCTACCGACACGTGTGTATCACTAACTCCTGATTTCGAAAAATTAAATTTTTTCCAGTGATGGAAGTTAGTGAGAAACTGTATATTTTATGTTCAATAAGAGTTTGATGAGTCCACTACAGACGCACATTTTATAAAATACAGTATTAGACATTATGAAAAATATCTATTTCATCAGTCGTTATATAGTGAAAATCAAGTATTGAATAAAAACTGTTTCTTATAGAACTACTTGTTTTGTAACTCAAATATTTTAATACCACTAGCAATGACTGCAACATCTACTCTATTATTTTTCAAATTTCGAAAAAAACGATTACAGATTCGAACTCCGGGATCCAGAACACTATTTGACAAACTTTATAAATAATCGTTGGTTTCGAAGAATGACTTTTCTTTTCATACATTCGGAAAATTTTCGTCACTCCATTATTGTTACTTAGTAACGATAACTTTTCTTCTCTCGTGATCATATCATGAAAAGTGTTGTTTGAAATAAGAAGATACCTATTTGTTAGCATTATTTTCATCGTTAATTCTCTCAGAATAATCAGCCATCTCATCATCAGACAGTGCTTCACGTTTAATTTTTTTGAGAAAAAAACGTCAAACTAACTAAGTAGGGTTTCTCATTATTATTCTTGTAGAGGATGTCACGATGCATCTTCTAAAAAAAGGCAAGATTATACGATTTATCTGTGCTGATGTATTTAAAAAATACTACATATCGAAATCATTCTGATGCATCTGGTATCAGTACCAAGTAGTTCTTTTAAGTACAAAGCTAACGAGGAAAGATCCCCAAGTGTGAATCACCGTTTCGAATGGGAGATATCCTGGTTTGTAGAGCTCGACGAGCTGAGTCTAGTGGCATAAAGCATTTTTCCCGATGCAGCTAGAAACTAGAAAAACAGTTTGGATAATTATGAAAAATCATATAGGAAACATTGGAATTTTAACGATATTGCAATAAAAGAGAGCTATATATAATCATTGATTTCGTCATTTTTGGCTATCAACTAGTGTCCTGCGGGAACGACTTTTTTCCCTAATTTTCCCATTCCCATTTACACTTAGGGAATGGGAATTCTCATTTAGACTTAGGGAATGGGAACATGGGAATGGGAACAGAATTAAAAATTGACGTTCCCAAAATTCTTTTTATCTTATTTCAATACATATAAAAATATTTCTATCTGATAACTGTTTATTTTCAATAACTTTTCTTATTCATATACAATTAACAAAAAAATAACAAATGTGTATCAACAAAAAATAGACTATTGATTTATTCTTAATCACATCGTAGTTTGATCATCACAAATATTATTTTCTTTTTCATCATCGACTTCGAAAATGACATTACCAAGATCATCTTGCGATACATCATTATTTTCTCTTCCTTCCCTCAAATAGAAAATAAAAAAAAAACTATAAATAAATATTAAGGTTATTTACAACAAAAAACCAAAGGATTTATCAATAAATAATCTCAATATTTATCTATAATTTTTTTAATTTTCTATTTGGGTGAGGGGAGGGGAACACTTTACTATAAGAGGAACATTCTCTCTATATGATGAACACTATGTTGGACTATACATTTTCTAATTACACAGTGGAACACTTTTTTAAGGAAAAAGCACACCAGCTTGAATGTATAGTGCATATACGCAGGAACACCTGCTTAACCAATGTCAACAAGCACAACAAAACAGAAAAAGAAAATAAGTGAAGCATTATGTAACAGCGTCGCGATGCGCAAAACGTGATGTTGCGAGAAACTGGTATACATATATGCCAATGACACTTTCGCATAGATGAACAGAGCCTTAGAAAATCTTATGGGAACTATGGCAATGGGAACGTGGGAATGGGAACAAAAAATTTTTTCTAGGGAATGGGAAAAAGGGAATGGGAACAAAAATTTTTTTTAGGGAATGGGAAAAAGGGAACGGGAACCAAAATTATTTTTTAGGGAATGGGAATAGGGAATGGGAATCAGAAAAAGTCGTTCCCGCAGGATACTACTATCAACTCTAGTAAAATAGACCAAAAAATGTATAGCTATGCCTTATTTTGCATATGTTACTGATGACATCAATGAACAGTTAATTGATTTGTAAAGTATATTCCGAAGAATATCAATAGTCTTATGAGAGTAAAGATGATACATTCCGAACTTGAAGCCATCCTGACTTGCATATTTTTAGTACGTGATGGCCTTTATACTTGATAGTTCATGCTTTTTTTATTTGAAAATGTATGTTTCATATGGAATCAATGAAAGTGATAAGCATAAAAAAATGTTCGAAACACAGTGTCCGTCGACAATGACTGCAACAAATGAATGTCTTGATCACAATTATTGTATGAGCACGTGTTGACTAGCGAAGAGAAGCAGACTTCTATTACGCTGGAGAATTTCAGATTGTGCTTATCACTTTCATTGATTCCATATGAAACATACATTTTCAAATAAAAAAAAGCATGAACTATCAAGTATGAAGGCCATCACGTACTAAAAATATGCAAGTCAGGATGGCTTCAAGTTCGGAATGTATCATTTTTACTCTCATAAGACTATTGATATTCTTCCGAATATACTTTGCAAATCATTTAACTGTTCATTGATGTCATCAGTAACATATGCAAAATAAGGCATAGCTATACATTTTTTGGTCTATTTTACTAGAGTTGATAGCCAAAAATGACAAAATCAATGGTTATATATAGCTCTCTCGGATTGCAATATCGTTAAAATTCCAATGTTTCCTATATGATTTTTCATAATTATCCAAACTGTTTTTCTAGTTTCTAGCTGCGTCGGGAAAAATGCTTTATGCCACTAGACTCAACTCGTCGAGCTCTACAAACCAGGATATCTCCCATTCGAAACGGTGATTCACACTTGGGGATCTTTCCTCGTAAGTACAAATACCAAGTACTTTTTTTAAAATGTCAAGTACATTTAATAGGTATTTGTAATTTTAATTTTTCCTAGAAATGTACGAAAAATACAGGTACAAACACTTTCGTCCGAGCTCTGTCTGAAAATTTTCAAAGCCAAGTGCACAACGAATGGACCAAATATAGTCTTCATAACTGGTTTTGTTTAAAGTTGCAAGATGTTTTTCAGCCTTCACTAAATATTTTGAAAGAAATATCTGTCAATAACTTTGCTCATTTTAATAAGAACAATATCGAGTCTCCTCAATGAGTTCTTGTCACACTATGCTGAAAACAAAATGAATATCGAACTTTTGCATTATTTGTCATTTTTTTTTATCAAAGTAGTTCTGTTCTAAGATTCATATTCATCATGAAATATGTAACTCTTGTTCAATACAAATAAAGCATAATTTTCGGATTGTACCGATTTTAATGGAATTCTTTTTATTAATTATGTTAGACAAAAATTGTTAACACAAATTCATCATTAAGATTTATCTGCATCGCCTTGTTGTTCTTGATAATGTTTAAGAACACGTGCCGATGGATCTGTTTGATCACCACACCATTTGGGAAGCCACATATATGGTGTAAGATGCTCTTGACCAGGATAAAGTTTTTCAAATATTGAACTAATCGTAATAGACAATTCAATAAAACGAACAATTATTCAAAATAAAACTTACCGATATAGAAATGCTTCTTTACTCTTTGGTGTATTAGTTAGATATAAAGTAGAGGCACGTTGAAAATCAGTATCAGAGACTTGTGTTTCAGCATATTCTTGCATGTATTGAAAAAGTGATTTTTTTTTTGCAGCAACACCATCAGAAAAAGCTTCTTTTGGTCGCCAAAGTATTTCTGATGGAATCAAATCAAGACCATCAAATGCTTTTCTATTTTTTAAAATAGAAAAAGATAAAAGTCATAATTTATATAGAATAAAAATTTGAAATATTACCTTAAAAGATATTTTTCTGCTCGTTCTTTTGTTGGTGCTCGTTCACTTGCTGGTAATGAAAGATAATAAGATGTAAATGCATGATCAAGAAATGGTACACGTAATTCAAGTCCATGTGCAGCTGTTGTACGATCAGCACGAAGTACATCAAAGAAATAAAGATCTTGACAAAGACGACGACTTTCTTGATCACCTTCTTCTGGTGTTGGTTGTCGATAAAAATAAATATAACCTTGACAAACTTCATCAGCACCTTCACCAGATAAAATAACAACAGTATCAGTTTTTTCTTGAATATATTTCGAAACAAAATACATTCCAATTGATGCTCGTATTGTTGTTATATCATAAGATTCAAGTGAATTGATTATATTTTTTAAATAATTTATTGCATCATCAGCTGTAAAACGTATTTCATGATGTTCAGTACCTAAGTGTTTGGCAACCTAAATTTATATTTATATTTAATTTTAATTTTTAATTTAAAATAAAAAAATTGAATTTACTTTTCGTGCAGCAAGTAAATCAGGACTTTCTTCATCCATTCCAATAGAAAATGTTTGAATTGGATAAGTAATACCTTGTTTTCGAGCTTCTTGTACAGTTAAAGCAGCAATTAAACTTGAATCAAGACCACCTGATAACATACAACCAATACGTCGATGTGACATTAAACGCATTTGAACAGCATTGGTAAGATATGAACGAATATTTAATGATACGTCATCTTAAATAAACATGAATATTCTTTGTTAAATGATTGTTTTAATGAAAATTGTTTTACCTGTTAAATTAACATTAACTTCATATATTGGAAATTTTCCAATACAATGAAAACGTTCTTTTTTAATAAATTCAGCCTTTTCATTCTCATCTAATTTATATTCTTCATATGTACCGGGTTCGAAAGCTTCAATTTTTAATGCTTGATTTGATGATACTGTTACACCTTCAAGGCCTAGAAATATGAAAAAAAAAAGAGATATTTGATTAGTAAAAAGAAAAAATAAAACAAAACTTAGTATAATGAAATCAAACCTTTAGCTTCAGATGAAACAGCTAAAAATCCACATTCAGTATAGATACGAAAAGAAGGTCGAACACCAAATGTATCTCGACCAACAAAAACTTTTCGTTCTTTTGTATCAAATAATACAAAAGCAAAAACACCATAAAGTTGTTCACACATAAAACGTACACCTTTATCATTATATAAATGAATTAAAATTTCTCCATCACATGATGTTTCAAATTGATAACCAAATTTTTTTTGTGTCTAATTAATAAATTTATTAAAGAAATATAAAAATACTTATTTCTTCATTGATTATTACCTGTCGGAAATTATAAATTTCACCGTTATAAGTCTAAAGAAATAATAAAAAAAAAACGAAAAAAAAATTATTTTTTTTTTTTCAAGAAAAGAATTTTTACAACTAACCATCCATATGTGTGGTAGTGCATGAATACGCATTGGTTGCATGCCATAAATATCATCGACGATAGCTAAACGGTGAAAACCAAAAACACATCTTGAAAAATGATTAACATTTTCAAAACGAAAACAATCAGGACCACGGTGAGCGATATTAAAACATCCTGGAATTTGTTGATGAGTATCAACTGTTGAACCAAATATGCACCAAATTCCACACATAATAAGTCTACAAAAAGAAAAGTACAAAGTTCACAGAGAGTAATATTTATTATGCCTTGTATTGTACTAGACTAGCACGACTGTTACCATTAGTGCAAAGTATTGCATCAGATGGACAAAAATCGTACGACTTTCTTTTTTCTTTCTTTCTTTCTGTTGATATAATGCATAGACTATCCTTTCATTCTCGCTGGGACGCTTAATTTCAAGGGAAAGAATAGAAAAGAAAAGAATACAAGTAATACTAAGCTTTATGAATGCTAGGCAATAGAATATTTGGTCTCAATCCACATTAAGTGATAAACCAGTAGAAAATAAGGCTATTACAATTTACGACATATATTAAAAAAGTTTCACAAAATCAGTTTTTACTCATATGCATTTCTTATTCACAATAAAAAAAAAAAGTAATTTTTTTTTATTGAAACTATAAGAAGGGTCGAGCTACAAAAATCATTCAACTATGCGACAGTCACGCAGTCAAATTTCAACATTCTGATCGTTAATATAATTTTCTTTTTCAGTACTACTTCATGAAAAACAAAAATTAAATTAATAGTTTTTTTTTTCATAACATATTTGTTCGATTAACAGAATTAACTAAAGAAATAAAAAAAAAAGATTTTGAATGATTGTATTTATGTTCGAAATTATTTGATCATTTTTTTTTTGATAAGCCACGCGATGAATAAGAAATTTAATTTATTTTTTTTATAGTTAGACAGTCACGATTATTTCATGTTTTCGAAATCGAGAGTAATATTATATAGAATAGATGTCAAGCAAAACTTACTAGTTATGTTATAAATATAATTGTCGGAGCAGAATAGTCGCTTATCGATAAAACACTGAATATCTATCGTTATCTGATCCATATGTATTACTATGCTTAATTTTCATAATTTAGTATAGATAAATATAAATCATATAAAAAATAATAGAGAAAAACATGCCAAAGAAGTTTTAATGGAATTTATTGTTTAAACACATAATCAGACGATAAATTTACTGTTTACATATACATATATATATATATTTATACATAATAAAATCATACAGAACTTCGTCTGATTGCATACATCATGTTAAGTGAAGATGTTGATTCAGACATTTTCATTGATTTATTTAATCCATATCGTTGTTGTTTTTTCCATTTTGAACGTTTTTTTCTTGTTTGTCTCCATTCACTAAATGTTTCCATACATGTACATGAACATATAGATGTTTGACTAGAATTCAATAATAATTGCTGTTGTTGACTTGCTGTCATTTCAGCCATAACTGGTGTTGTTGAACGTTGTTTTCCTGTATTCGTTGAACAAATAACATCACCTTTAAGTAAAACAGCTTGATTAGCTGCTTCTTCTTGACGAAGTTTTTCAAGTAAACGTTCTTGAGAATAAAATGCAACAATACGTATAACAAGTAAATTCATCGATGATGCAAGAACAGTAAGACCAAGAAAAATAAATGCCATACAGAAAAAAAAATATTCAGCATGATAAATAAAGTCTTTATCACGATGATTATTTTGCTATTTTGATTAAAAAAAAAAAAAGAAAAAGAAAGAGGATTATATAAAGAAACTTACATTGAAGAACAAAAATTAAAATAAACAACTTACTAAAACAACATAATCACCAAAACCAATGGTTGTTAATGTTATAAAACCATAATAAAATGATTCAAAAAAAGACCATTGTTCATATTTAGAAAAAACAAATGCACCTATGACTAGTATAACTATCGATAATAAGGATTCTGTTACAAGTAATTCTCCATCAGTTATTTTAGTTTGTTTCATATTTAATGAATGTTTAAGTCGAGCAAGAACATAACTCAAAAGTGAATTTAGTCGTTCACCTGTAGATTGAAATGTTATTAACCACATAGGTATACCTAACATAGCATAAAAGATACAGAAAATTTTTCCACGTGATGTTATTAGTTGTCGATGGCCATAACCAATAAGGGCTAAGACAACAGTTGAAAAATAAAAACTATCATAAAATTTCCATTTATGACGAACAATTGTTTTATTCATAATTAAATCGGATAATTGACGAAATGTTTCATTAGTCATATTATGATCAAGTTTAAATTGAGCAAATATTCGTTCAAAACGATGTTTTCTAAACAACAAAGAATATAAAATTTTTCTGCTATTATGAATAACAATATTAAACCTTGTTTTTTCCGGAAAGAACAGGAAAGAAAAAAAATTTTCTTTTTCTTTCATTACGAAATAAAAATGAGCCGAAAAATCGACTTCCGTTTTATCAGTTTGATCTATTAAACAATTAGCACACAGGTAGAATTATTCCATTAGAATAAAATAGGGAAATATCTCGGTTTTTTATTATATAAAATTCGATAGAATATATATTCAATGTATTTAATTTCAAGTAAATATTTACCGATCTGTAAATGGAGCATCTTCAAGTGCATCAAATACACAAGCTCCAATAATCAAATATGTAAAAGTGCAAACGATAAGTGCAGCTGTACGAATATTTTTTTTTTGTACTTGAAATGGATCGTTTAATTCTCCAGTTGTAATAGGTGTACGGTCACTTGTTGATGTTTTTCCAGCTGCTGCTTTAATATTTGGTGCTGTTTTACCCATTACAATTGCACTAATATTATTTCGATCACTTTTCAGACTCAACTAAAATATATGTACAATAAAACAATACACTATAAATGATTATTTTTACTAAACATAATATTGATCAAATAAAAATGAGTAGAAAAAAAAACACTCACAAAAAAAGTTTCTTTTCTTTTTTTTTTTTAATAAAAGAAAAGAATTTCCACAGTAAAAAATATGAATAGAGTGTTGCTGAAGTTGAAATAGAAATAACAATTAGGTTGACTAGCTATATATTTCTATTACTATATTTATTCTCTCCTTTTCTTCTAAGTATGATTATACGCTTACATTTACACGATTTGTCGCCTGATGAAAATTGCGTGACTAAAAAACACCAAGTGTCGACTCGCCTATGTTGTCGATGTTCGGTTTTTTTTTGTCAACCTTTTCTTCTTTCTCTTCTGCTTCGTCCTCATCCTATGGTGCTTTTTTTGTGGAGCGCTCACAGGTAGATAGTAATAGCTATTCAACTGAATCTTTCTACTATTGTTAGATGAATGTTCTGCACTCCTACTTCATACTCAGGAGAGGAAAAACGCGGACGACGTTTTCTTCGTTACTAGTCTCGTCATCAATTTAGATCTATATGTTCTCTTTTAAGCAACAAAAAGAACAGAGTTGATAGTAATAAATTGTAGCAGAATATGACGTATATACTTATGTTTTTTTTTACAGATCATTACTAGAGAAAAATGTATGAAGTTGCTAGAGTTTGTATTTTACTAAGAATGTGTCTAAAATAGAAGTGTCGAAACTATTGGCAAACGCAACTAAATAAACTGAAATAATTGAATGCGATGGAGCATGTGTCTATCATTTCGAATACTCATACTGAACACATTGTGCAATTAGTTTAGTAATCAATGCGCGCACGCACATCTATCTTGTGGTTACGCATGTGAATGAATCAATTGATTCCAAACTACTCATCAACAAGAAGAAAATGACGACAACGATAGAGATCAGCAACAACAGCAAGCACAAGATCGTCTTGCGTGTCTGTTGATCAAAAAGACATTAGTGATGATGATAAAAGGCGAGAGAAGAGATAGAGAAAGAAAGAGAGACAGAGACAGAGACAGAGAAAATCTCGGGCGGGCGAAAGACAGCGACAGCGGCGATGTAAAATGAGACTAATCAAAATATGTCGATGGATAGTCGATTGAACTAGCAAATGAAGACAGAAGACGACAGAATGGCAGTAACAGCTGCATTCTCTATATGACATATATAATGAAAAAAGAAAAAGATACAAAAATGTAAGCTGAATAAAAAACCCATTTAAGTAAATAATTAGAAACTATATCATTTTTTTCAATAATTGATTGATTTCAATATTGCTACTCAATAAAGAAGTGACCTTCTCATCTGACACTATAGGTCATCACTTGTAAATCAAAATTAATAAAGAGCATGACGAGTGCATAGTCGTTAGTTTATGTTTTTGTTTGACTTACCCATCTGTGGAAATAATTAGATAGGATACAGATATGTCTAGATCTCTATTGACGTTCTGTCTTACTCTTCATTATTATCATTATTATTATGATTACGATAATTATTATTGTTATTATTATTATTTGTTCGATTTTTCTCATCATTATCGTGTGTACTTGACGAAAGAAGTCTGACATGCCAGCAAAAAAAAAGAGTGACAGTCAAGTATCGAGAACTATATACTTGTTCGTGAAGCAATTGATAGGCAAATTTTGTCTCGTAAAGCAATAACGGGACCATTTCAGAGAAAGACATAAACACATTGAGATTGATTTTTCTCTCCTCCTTTTCTCCTAATAAGAACGATAGCAACGTCATCATCGACAACGTTTTTCTTCATCTTTTTGAGTATTAGTTTAGCTCGTGAGACAAGACACGCGTTGTGTAATGTAGACGAACACTGAGACCATTCGCTCAGCTGTTATGTGAAGATCAAGAAAAGAAGACCTTGTGATATATAGATAGCATATCGAACGATAATTATCTATGTTTGTCCAGCTTAAAAAAATAGACAGTATATCATATGTTAAAGGACGCATCCGTAATTTATTATCTTGAGGGTGAGATTAATAATAAAAATAGTTACACACAAAAGAACAACATTTGACGTTAGATTTATTGCAGAAGAGAAATAATATAACATATTATCAACAGTCAATAATCTGTTTTCTTTTTGCTTCTTTACACATCATATTTCTTATTCTTTTTATAAGCAACTTCTGGGTTTCGTTTATGTTGTGTAAAGTTTCAATGGATATTCTAAATCATAAATAAAGGGTAAAGTCGACATTAATTCATATAATGACGATAATAATGGAATACTTTTTTTTTTATATTGCTATTATGTAATTAAATGTCAATTTTTGCATTTGAATAAATCGATTTCTTTTGCTTGAAATATAGAGCTGCCAAAGATCATTTGAATAGACAACTTATATCTGCACATGATTATGATTAATATGAAATCCAGTTTTTCTTACCAAGATAGGAAAAATGGAAATTTTGTTTTGATAGCAAATAAAATTAAGCAATCTTGTATGCTATCAACAAGTCTTTTCTACTGTAGAAAAAAAAATGATTCGTTTGATGAAAGGGTGTTGAGTTCATATCTCTAATCATTAATATTTTAAGATTCAAACAAGACTTTTAAATTAATAAAATTAATAATTTATGTTTATCAGCTTATATTGAAGATAGATATAAAATGTTCAAGATTAAGATAATTGATCTTGATGATATTTATTAATACTAATTCAAAAAGTTTTTCTTTTATATTTTTAGAACAATCTTTGTCAAATTTTATCACAAATTAGATTCATATGTTTTCTTCTATATTAGACTTGCACTAAATATATTGCTTCCAATTACTTTATCAGATGAATATCCGTGTATAAATATTTGCTCAATCGAAGAACAAACTGTTTGTTTACCTTTCTTTTTGGATCGTAAAAAAAAAAATTTGTTTCTCTTTCATATATATATATATAAATGACATCGAGCATTTTCTTACCTATTGGTAACTATAGTAACCATTTTTACTACCGTTCTCTTTTCCTTTTTTTTTGTAGACGCATTACCACCAACTAACAAACTCTAACGCAGATTTTATTTTGTTCTATTCTTTTAGTTACAATATCAACATGGCGACACGTTCACATAGTCGTTTTACAGATGACATTTATTGTACACCAGTACCAACAGCTCCAAGTATACAAGTTAAAACTATTGATATACTTCGTAATGAAATTTTCTTTTCAAATCTTTATGAAGAATATCAACAAGGTTTACATGCTGCAGAAGAATTAAATTCAAAAGATTTATATGAAAATTATCCGCCAAATTTTGAAAACAAAAATAAACTATTTATTTTTGATTTATTAAATAATAAACATACATATTTACCATCACCTAATAAATCAATATTATTCACACGATGGAAACCATTTATACCAATCATAGAATCTAACAATCGATCATCGACTGTAATTAAATTTCAAGCCGATGTTTTTAATTATAAATCAGACAGTAATAGTCAAACAATTGAATGGTATTTAAATTTTGCAAATAGTGATCTATTTGCATATTATGGAGGTCCTTTATTAGCTCAAGATGAATTACAAGTATTAGAATGTGTTGAATTAGCTGCTTTAAGACAATATTTTATTCAAGCAATTAATACAGTTGGTTCACGTACAGTTAATTCAGATGCACATAATAATAGATCAGTACCAACACCTAGTATGTTTTGTTTTTCTTTTTTATTAGCATTAAATTGTAGTTTTTTAGAATTTTTTCTTTTATTGTAGTTCTAATCAGTAACACTGAAAGGGTAATTGAATTAGATACAAAAGATATTTATGGTAATTCATTTGCTCATGCAAATAAAGAGCAACTTCAACATGCATTTAAATTGGTTGAACCACCTCAAGTAGTTAATTTAATCGCGATTGAAGCACCAAGTTATGGTGAAGGTTGCTATACATACGATCAAATTAATTACATACTTACAAATTGTTATACTGGTTTCAAAGCAGCACAAATACTTGCTCATAAAACTCATGAAATGAATACATATGCCTCAAAATCGCATGACCGACGTCCAAGTCGTAGTGAACCGAATATTTTTCGTACAGTAATTCATACTGGTTGGTGGGGTTGTGGTGCATACGGAAACAATCGACAAATGATGCTTATTACTCAAATGTTGGCTGCACATTGGGCTCATGCAGATGAGATTATTTTTCATACACAGAATAATGAACATGAGAATGATATTACTAAAGCTCGAGCAGTTTTTGAGCAATTGAAGAATGGACAACAAGTTAGAGAAATCATAGAAGAAATTATTAAGTTAAATTTAGAATGGGAAAAATCCAATAATACATAAAACTTAATCAATTTTAGCAGCGTTACTGATTTTTTTTTCGAAATTGCTCTCATTCAATCTATTTTTTCGTATTTTTTTATGTACTTTCGATAAGAATATCAAAGAAAAAATACACAGCCTTATTTATTAAAACTCAAAACGTATGAAAACAAGTTCGAAAGGATCATTAAATCAAGAATCGTTGCGATATTTGCTTCATTCAAACACGAAAATATATTTATATTCTAATTTTTCTTTTGTCTTAATTCAAGTAGAAAAAAACCAGATTAATTAGATAAGCAATAGTACATATTTTATAATATTCTGCTACACATGTCTTATCGATACAAAGTTTGTCAAGAACGCTAGTACAAATACAGATAGTACTTTCAAATTTCCGATAAAATATAATATAATCATACTTTCCATAGATCTTACCATATAATATACTTATGCTTTATTTTCTGAATATATTTTTCATTTAATTTTTTTTTATATGGCAATGTTTTCTTTTATCTGAAATAAAATTTTAAAAGTTTCTTGTTGCTTAATGAATTATAGCAATGTTGTTTCAATCAAGTTCTGTACTTCGATATAAGAATTTTCCCAT